AGGTCACTGTTGACGCTTTTCCTGTTCTTTGTGACAAAGATATTGGTTTTTTATATATATAAAGAGAAGGAAGTCAAAATAGTGTCAAATTAAACAAAGAAATGCCAAAGCCGAATCGTTTATCCGTTTAGTTGCCCTCCGGCAAACCACTATATGCTGCCGAGGACCATTGTCATTTGATACATCTCTTCCTGCTGGAAAGATATTCAAGAATTTCACGAAGAAAATAACAAGTCCGGTAAGTAAAACTAGCATCTCAAGAACAATTGCTGCTTGTGTGTTCTTTCTTAAGTGGCGCTCTTAGCCATTTGGGTCGTCATAAAGACCAGTGTATTTTGATACTTGGGCCACTTCATGCAAGTTTGCATAAAACGAATATGTCAGAATCAGGAAGACAAAGTGTCTCAAGGTGTCTCACAAAACTGTTATGTCCTATATTAAACCAAAAGACTATGTTAAGCCAAAAGACTCCTTGATCATGTAGTGAAACTCTCTTCATCATATCCTATGCATTTCTCAGATTAGATTGAAGGGATACAATCACAATCGAATTAGAAAATGTACGTAAATGGTACAATTGATTTTGGTCAAGCTCAACTGTGCCATTGGCGATATCAATCGGTGAGAGTGTTAGCCTAGTGCTAAGTAGGGTATTGGATGTAAGTCGGTATATGCTCTGAGCGTCCCTTCCTGAGATCTCAATAAATGTGAGGCCATGTGAAGGAAAATAATACTGAATGGAACGAGAACCTAATTGGGTGTCTATAATTGTCCACGTTGTTATTGTAAGATAGCTTTGCGTTGCTACATGTATGTAGAAGCCTTAGTAGGTAAGTTACGTAATCATGCTGCGATTTGTAAAATAGGCTGCATCGGTTCGGAGATTCGTTGGTATGTAGGCTACGTAATCACGCTACGATTTGTAAGATAGTTATGCGTTGGTATACAGGTTATATAATTATGCTGTTAATGTCATATGTAAGGAGTTGGTCCGTTAAGTGTCGTCCGTTCGACGGCATCTCCATTTTTGATCGCGTGCACTGACCACTACAATGTCGAAACTAATTTACTTTAGTAAATTTTGCTTAATGTCTGATCCATGTTTTGGTGTATTAGTTGTATTAAGTTATGGTGGCGCCTGTTATGCCTAATCTCTTATTCGTCTGGTTTTTTTACATGCGCAAAGTTAAAAATTATTCCCAAGGAGTTCGGGATACATGTGGTTGTTTTAGTTAACGTATAAGAACTGGCTTATTCTAGAATACTTTTGATCTATTGGAACTTCTGACGATCTCAGGACTAAGGGTCTCTGCTCTTCGAAGCACATAGAAACACGTATAATTGTGCGCCCTTTGCAAAATATTGCAACATTCGATGTTTAGTAACTTGACGGTTTGAAAGACAATAACCCTTACTGGTAAACTCCTTAATGTTTCTCAAAAATGCCATTACTCTTCTTACATTATGACTATATATTAGGAGACCATCATCGTGGCGTGAACCCGTCACTCATTTACATTAAAGTTTCCGCTAGATTTTAGTCTATTTTTGGGTTACATGTAGTTTAAATTTCGCTCCTCTCTTGCAGGGAATGCTTGTACCGTTAGCCCATAGTTGTTTGAGAGGAATGGGAAAAAGGTTCCTTGAACATGTTGTATATTTTTGTTGCCTGTTTTCTGTCCTCACCGCGCACAAATAGCAGTTGCTGCATGTTTATAACTGACTGAAGAACTTACCAATAGGAACGTTCCTGTTACGTTATTCACGTGCAATTCACGTGTGTGAGCGTAAAACAAAAGAATGTGCACGGTCATGGACATTCCAACATAAATCGTGTCATCTTTGTTGCTCCTTTGATGCGCCGGCCACCAGGTTTCATAATCATTCTCCTCTAGCCTGAAGACTTTTTTCCATTTCCTACATCGTCTGAACTGCGATCTAGCTTGCCTTGACCAAAGCTAATATAGTTGAGTGCAGAATAATTTAGTTATTACCAGCGCTTTCCCATAGTGAAACGGTTTCAGATTGATACAGGATTTTACACAGCGGTGTGAAGATATGACTTTTATTTTCCAGTGCAAAAACGATATTTATCAACGAGCGCAGCGAGTGAGTAAAATATTCTTCTAAGAAGAGAAAGTAAAATCATATTTTCGAACCACCGTGCCATTTTCTTTTTATTATACAGACTAGTCAATTGTTTGCCATTTTTACCGATGCATGATTGTTTGCGCTAACAACCGTGAAATAGCGGAAAATAGCGTCAGCGATATTCTTAGTAGTGAGACGAAAAATACGCCACTCGGGTCCTGTATGTAGGTTCGTTTGAATTTTACGGGTGGTGTATTTCCGAGTAAAACACTTGTATGTATATCTAACCGAATTCGCAAAAACATGCCCGCATTGACTCAAAGCCAGTCCCAGCGGCCAGAAGTCCTCTGACCACCCCCCTGATTGGGAGATTGGCCCTTCACGCATGCACGTGGCATGGACCCCTCCAGCAGGGTGCCATGTCAACACAGAAGCCTCAAACAAGGTCAAACAACTGAGTAAAATACCCAGAAACACAGTTAATATCAAGCTTATTTAACACTGAAAACACAAATTCTAGCTAGTTAGGGGTGTCAGTAAGAGACGCCCTACCTTCCCCCCTGCTTTTAACAGCTGGCCCCCGGCAAGCCACCAGAGATAGGCCAGTCATTGGGCCATGTGCCCAGCCTACCCTTGACGGAGTCCNTAAGGTCGCTGGCTTAGCCTGGATTCAGGCTTCGCCCGAATCTAGGCGAAAACCTAGCGGGCATGTTTTTACGAATTCGCTCAGATATATATATAAGAAAATTTATTAATTGTCAGACTCTGTTGAGTATAATTGTTGAAGAGAAACGTCTATTAAAGTTCGATTTTTAACTGAAGCCCCTGTCTACACACCATCACAGTAAGCCGACATACGCAGACGTAGTAGAGTGTTGCTAAGTATCACCTTTTGTTTGAAATTTGTTCTAACAAAAGATGCTCATGATCAACATCTTACAGCGTTTGCATATGTCCACCAGTCTTAAGAAAGCGCTTTTATGCAATGGCGAAGAGAACATTTCATTGATAATGTGAAAGAAATTGGCGACTGAGATGTGTTACATGTAGATATAACTTTGAGTAAGTACATCGAGCAGTTATAAAGCCTTTGATTAACTTACGAATGAGTTTGGGCCTCTACTGATCACGAATTTCCAATTATGAGCTTTTTATTCCAAAGTTTTTAATTTTAATTAAAAAAGTAATGTTTATTGAGTTCAGACTATATAACAAAGTAGTAACATGCATATGGCATGTTGACAAAACTGCTATTCGGAGCCATACTCGGACACTCGATCTTTCCTCACGTATTCTTAAAGTATGATATCTGAGATAATAATGAAATGATAATAGTTGGAATCAAAATGAGAAAATGTAGTCTTTTAGCTTTATTTCAAGGCACAAAACCAGTAGTATCGTAATCGAACGAACTAAGCCACGATACGTTTGGATGATTTTACAGGCGATTGACACCTTAACTCAAAATGCAGTCTTGCGATTCACTAAGCTGGTAGTGTCCAGGACAAGCTGACAACCTTTCGATGCAGCCTGCATAATTTAGTATAATTTAGTATAATTCAGTACAATCAATTGTTGGCTGACAATCATGTCATACATACGTATAAGTATGGCGTATTTATGAAAGTGAGCTATTATAGTTATTCATCAGTGCCGAGATTTCGAGTCTTTAAATCGCGGTTTTGCCTCCTCCAGGAAAACACGATGATGGATTTAGGTTCAGCCCAGAGTCTTTCATTAAAGACCATTTGTGTAATCTCTGTTCTGCTGGGATTGTAAGTATTGCCAAGCTGTTTGATAAGCACTCAATTTTGCACTTGCAAATGCGAGACGTTTATGATCTAATTTTCTGAAAAATAATTTCAAGTCAGCTGTGATAACATGTAACGATTTGTAAACAACTGAATATGGATGTTGTGCATGGTTCAGCTTTACTCTTGATAAAATTATATTTGGCATTTTCCTTTGTTCTGGTGCCTGGCTCTGGTACTGATGTATGATAATATATCATAATGTATATGAAACAAAGGAAAATACCTTGCAAATTAATTGTTCCAAGGGTAATATTGAACCATAACAAATATATAACGAATTATTTACAGAGCTGACGGAGATGTGATTTCAAAGTTTTTCGCAAACTACGACAAAGCTCTTAGACCGGATATTGGTGAGTAAAGAGAAAATAATAATAACAATAAAATAATTGCATGATAGCCCTGCCGATATCTCGACAAATTAAGACATTAAAGGCGATTTCCAATCCGTACTGCGCAGTCTCAACACTCCAGTTTTTAAGAGTCTCACACGAGGGAATGTGAATCTATGTTATTCTTCACTAAACGCTTTCCTTATCATTCCTAGTGTGGGACATTTTATATTCTTTTTCCAAAAGCTTATTTTTTTTGCTTTCTGCAGCTAAACTGAGTTGTTTCATCAAGTTTTATCAGAAAGAATGACTGAGCATAGTTCGCATCCATATTGACGGTTGACATGAAACTTTCAACTTACTTCATGTTAGTATTTATGAAATGTTACCTTTTGTGACGTCTTACACGAATCAAAGCAAACACCTAAGAAACCCTAGAGAGTGCGCAATACAAACTAGCAATTATCTTTAATGACAGCTAGAATAAATTCCTTGTTTTTTGTTAGTCTGTTTGTTTGTTTGACACTGAAGCGTCCAACTCTTGTCGATTGAACTGTCTGAGTTCGAGTGCTAGCAATTCGAAGAGAACTGTACATTTGTCTGGGGCTGGGAGGACTGGGAAAGAAAACTGATATCATGTAACTAGGACTGAAAACGGGCAATACTAGTGAGCTATCAGGAAACCTAACTAAATTATGGGAACTTGGAAACTTCGATGGGCTAACATCCTATGATTATCCTAGGGGTTTATGGTATACCTGTGTGTTTCATGCTGAAAACTTGGTTAGAGTGTTGGCAAATAAGATCGAAAAATAAATAACCACTGTCTCTCCAGTTGTATACATTGCACTACATGGAATGTCAATTACTTTTCCTCTAGAATTGGACAAACCCACCATAGTCGAATGTAGTTTGTACGTGGAGTCTTTTGGAAACATTGAAGAAGCAAATATGGTATGTGCTGGCGTGAGCTGATACGAATTTTGAAGTTAAATTGTTGTTGCTGACACCACCCAGCTGTCAAGCTCACGTGAAAAAGCTTACTGAAAGATGTTTCATTTGTTCGGCAGGAGTACAAAGTCTATGCATATTTTCGTCAGTACTGGAATGATTCTCGCCTCGCTGGAAAGCTGAACCGCACCCTTAATTTGATGGGAAGTGATATCGAGCGCATGTGGGTCCCAGATCCTTACTGTTATAACGCGCGTGAATCGACCATGATGAATCCAGACGAAGAAACGCACAGCAGCCTCAAAATTAAACCCAATGGAGAGATCAGTTACAGTAGAGGGTAAATATGTATACGTTATCGTATGAATGCGAGTGCAATGAAGGATTTACACTACTAGTGGTATTTGAAAGTTCTTTCAAAATTACACAATCCTTAGGCGAGTGTAATTTGCAGTATCAAATATTGCGATTCGTGTAAATTTAATTGCTTGAGCTTTCATACGACTACTCATTTACTACATGACTTGAAGAACAACTGAAATACCTGTTTTGTTTGATACGATTTAAAAGGATGCAATTCTGTGTACATTGTCAAAGTTAAAGGAGTAAATTGCTCCCAGTCAAATTTAAATACATTATAGGGCTAATAATATTATAAAATGTAATTTAAAAAAGCTTTGACTGCATATTAAACTGCAGTTTTTAACAAGAGAAGTGATGAAAGAGGTGCTGGAAAATCTAAAATATAGTATGATAAAAAGAATACAATGAAATAAAATTATGGAAATAAGCTTAATACATTTTTACTAAAATAATGGTGTCGTAAATTGTCCTCGTTGGTAGTTTGGTCTAATAGAAAGGTAACTAGTGTCTCAGATCAGGTTGAATATTAGAGAAAAGTGAGTCTCAGGTTGAGTATAAGAGATAAGAGATAATAAGTGAGATACCTTATGTTCTACCAAGTATAATTTCATCAAGAATATTTATGGAGTGGTCTTACCGGGTTGAACTACTATCGATCGTTCTCGATCAGTTTTATCCCTTGTTTGATCTCAGGGTAACTTTGCTCGCCTCGTGTAATATGGACCTCCATCATTTTCCGCTGGACTCGCAGGAGTGCATTCTCAAGTTTGGAAGCTGTAAGTAACAATATGCGACCTTAAATAATAACAAAAATATCCGTGTTCCTATTGGATCCGTGGGCGGATTGCCACACAATGTGGATAGTTGAAAGGTTATACATTGAAAATACAATTTTGCCAAAAAGTCAAACTATTAGCAGTGAAAGATACAACAGCAACAACAACTTTCTTTACGCATACATTTACAATTTTGCAAATATATATATAAATAGACTGACAGAAAAATAACCCGTACGTTTTCTAGTCAGCCTCCAGTTATCGTAAGGTTTCTATGGATATTGATCGAGAGTATAATTCGGAAGAGAGGAGATGTGTACACAAGTTTTCAGAATGTTGTTTAGAAAGTAAATAAAATTTGAACTGTTTAAAGGTAGCAAATTAGAGTTAAACTCTGTCTTCAAGTTATTAAGTTGGACGAGACTCTGATCTTTGACTAATTGGCCTTTCAGGTTAAATAAAGTCTTATTTTACCGGATGACCAGTAGAATTTTGGCAGAGTGACTCTCAGCTCTCAGGAGTTTAATGTTTCGTAGCACATTGTTTCGTCCTGTGAATATTCCGCATTGGTGTATTTTTTTGTATTATTTTTCGAAGAGAATACCATACAAGAAAGGAGAAAGTAAAGGCTATTATGACATGAAAATAGAAACGAGATGAGACAAAACGATGTTTTCCTATAAATTTAGCGTAGGTAAAGACAACAACAGCAACACTCAATCTTTTTTGTTTTGCCAGATTAACAAAACGAAAAAACAGCATAGAAACAATTAATTTAATTAGGCAAAATCAAAATACACAGAATAGTAAGACTACTGAATACTAAACAAGCTGAGTAGATAGAAAAGATTAATCTCTTTAAACGTTTTTTCCATCACACAGACGGCCATTCTACGGTCGACATTATCTTCAAGTGGGTTCCTGGAGACACTGAAGTCTCTATTGGATACAAAGAAATGGCTCAGTTTGAATACAAAGGCTCCAAATTGACAAGCGGTGCAGATGAGTTTGGCGCGGCTGGTAAGGATTTAAAAACACGTGTAAATAGCAAACTGTACACGTCGTTATATTCGTATTTAGTCCACATTGCAAGCAATATTGAGAGCTGCTAAGGTAGAACGAGATTACCTCTGTTCGGTACTCAGCGCATGTCTTCTTCTCCCAGCTAATCATGTTCCTTTTTTCAATTAACGTTATTCCATTTCATGAAAAAAGAATACATCCACTGCTAATAGCAAATGTTTGATGTGCATTCTATATTTTTTTGTTCATTAAGCGGTACTTTCCTCTGTACATATAAGGGCTAACATCATTAACCTGCAGCTTCTATTAATGTTCGTTCACTTTCCTTATTTGCGCGTGGCCCTTACATTATACTTCTGATTAAATCTTTCATGTTTGGGATTTCGCCCTTAGGGAGTTTTTCCACCATGACAGCCACGTTTTTATTCCATCGACGCATCGGCTATTACCTTATTCAAGCCTACTTCCCAAACATATTTGTTGTAATCCTAAGCTGGATTGTTTTTTGGATGGATAAGGAAGACATGGGAAACAGGATAACCCTGGGAATCACAGCCATCTTAACCATCATGTTTCTTCTTGGATCTCTCAATGGCAATTTGCCTAAAGTCAGCTACCCAAAGGCTCTTGATTGGTATCTGCTGGTGTCATTCAGTTTTGTGTTTCTGTCATTGCTTGAATGTACGGTCGTGTTTCTTTTTGTATCGAGCGCCAAAGAAGACGAAGAGAACATTGCCTACAAGGTAACTTACAACTGACTCAACCTGTAAATCAAAGACCTAGCCTTTTGCTTTGCCTGGAATTTTTTTCCTCGGAAATGAGAGAACAATTTCAGACCTCCCATAGCTAACTTGTTCCATTCCTTTACCTCTGCAAACTCCCTAACTTAGTACTATGTAGACTTCTACGGCCCTACGTACGTAGAGAAATGCTTTTACCAGAGACTGATAAACAAACTAGAATGCCTATACTGATCGCAGCTGAATTAAATTGCCCACAATACATATTGGGAGCCCGGGCTTTTCCCAGTTCAGTTTATGAGCTTTCATTTTCAAACTCTACTCAGTAAGGTATGAATAACCTTGGAAACGAGATCCGGGGATGGGAATCCCATGTGAAAATTAAACGTCAAGGATGCTCGGCGGAAAGTTCGAATTAAAGACCAATCTGGGCATCGCTTGACCCTATTGGAAACCACTTAAAACGGACATGACATTGATTCGAATTTTTTTAAATTAACCCTGCGAATGCAACCCTAAAAGATACCTTGACGGGTACACATCGTGGTGTTTCTTCCTGAAGAAGACCAAAATCCTTTATTTACACCCCTAAGCGGGACGGCGAGATCCACATGCGAGTCCACCCTCCGGAAGGTTCGAGATAAGTTACATTCAGAGCACAACTTGTAGAGTATGTTTGCAGCGTTATATACCGCTCGCAGTTAAACGTCTACATCTGTAAATCTAGATCTCTATAAATTCTTATATAGTTATTTCCATTTCATTTCAGTGCCATGACAACCCTCTGGAGACAAGAAAGTCCTCATCTTATAAATCAGTTAAGTCAAAGGGAGAATCTTCCAGTGCTGAACACGCTGAAAACGGGGGAATGTCAAATGCAGGATGTGATGACCTTGAAATGGTTTATCGCGGAATTAAATCTAACAAGGCCGTGGTGGATGATGTGTCAGTCCATAGCAACAGGAGCATCAAAAACAAACGAAGGGTGACAATAGCGGTCAACATTGACAGAGCATCACGTGTTCTCTTTCCACTGGCCTTTAGCATCTATAACATTTTTTACTGGACTCACTATTAACTCGTTTTGTTTAGGGAAAATGATGTCTGTGGTCTCGGCTGTAAGACAAACTTAGAGCAATATACAGGCTCGAACTAACCATAGGTAAGAAGATCAAACCATATACGTTGGGTCTTCTGGTAGCCTTAACCGGAAAACTTAACATTTATAGTACTTAAAACAGTATTAAGCTTTGCTTGATTCGTGAAATTATACTCCAACGCCGAAGTGCCAAAAACGTGCTTTTTCCCCAGGCTTATTTTTCTAATTTGTTTTAGTTTTCATAATTCAGATCGTATATATATACATTGTTTAGTGCTAGAAGTGGTAATAATTCTACCTGTGTCAGTATGTTGTGCAATACGAAGGCAAACGTGTTCGTGCTAACTGA